GTACTCGTATGTGCGGCTCTATGCTCCGTAGAAATTGCTGCATATATTTATTTAAAGCAAACTGCTTGGCGCGTGTACTTTTATATTTGAAAAGATTCAGAGAATTTTCAACAGGGAAATAAAGTTATTAATTTTACTGAATTTTGTGGATTCTTTGTGTTTCGAGGTAAAAGTCAAACCATCAGATATGTGATAACATTAAAATAAGGGTATATATAATCAGGATTTTGCGGCCAGACATTCCCAGCGAAATACATTACAAAAAATTATCTATGTAGAATTAATGTATATTCCGTTTAGTATTTTAATTTATCAGTGTTATTACACATCAGTTTATCAGTGTAAGTTTATATCGAGTTTTAGTCGTGTTCGATATAAGAATTTTATTTGGTTATATAAATCCGATTCGTTTAATAATATTATATTATTAAATACTATTATTAGGTTTCCAAATCTGTCAAACCCAATCAATGGCCTCCTGGCTAAGATATCTGATTATCGCTATTTCGACTCGTATTCAAACCCAAACAAACGAACTGGTTGAATTTTGTGATTTCCCCTATGTGTAACATGAACATGAGTACGTTTTACTTAGAAAGTCGTCCATGGAGACAGTCATTGCCTTTGGCTGATAGATCTCGTTTCCTTTGCCATACTCAAAAAATCTAAAAATTTTTCAAAAACACTAACAGATGCATATAACAAAATAAAATTAAGTAAATGCATATAAAAAAACTAAAGTAAATGTATATAACGAAAAAAAAATGAGGTAAAAAGTTTAAAGGGACAGTTTTAAAGGGATTCACAGATAATTACTCGACAGGCTAAGGGTTAAACGGGAGGCTTCCGAGAAATGTTTCGTCTAGCTAGGAGGAACATGTCCCGGCTACGAGCAACATTTTAAAACTTTTTCGAAAATGTTCTGGCTGGAATGTGTTCCTCGAACGTTCAACCAATCAGACGAAAGTTCTGCTTTTGAAGGATCACGGATAACTTTCAATATGGCGATGGCTCTCACAGTAAAGTCATGGATGGTGGAAATAGAGGCCGATTTCATTATTGCTGTTTTATTGTAATATGTTATGATGCCTGAGTTATTTTTAAAATGTTTATGTATTCATTAAATATAAGATCGTGAAAATTTCAGAGTTGACAGTATTTTACGACGTTCTTGCAGTTCGGATTTGTTTACAAATTGTTCGTTGCCAAAAGTTCGCCAAATTTGTCGCATTTTGTGCTGATCATGTATTATCCCTGTTATATATTGGAATTTTATTTATTATATTTAAGTTGAATAATTTTTTTAAATCCGTTTGTATATGCACAGCTTTTCTCCTAATTACTTATCTTTTAAATTGTTAATTGCATAATCAGTGACACATTTTAAACAGCATAAAAGATGAAAAAAAAAAAAGCATAGCTTATGTAATAATGAGAATACTCATTAAATTTGTCTATTATTTTCATGTTATTAATGAAATACTTTTTGGATTATAAATACATTAGAAACTATACTTTTATTGTAAATGCTACATGAAACATTGGAAATTTATGGATTTATTATAATGCATGATGAAAAACATTTGTGTATACATTCATTAATATAAATTTTACTCTTTACATTAATACTAATAAATATATATTAACAACTTCTAAACCATCGCACCTCTCTATCTGTATGTAAATATATGACTTATTAGATGTGTATATATATGTATGTATGTATGAATACAAAAATGAACATTGCCAAAAAGTTTATTTGAAGTTACTTTTAATTCATATAATGATCATGTAATTGGCAGCAACTGTAGTCATCAGTTCTTAGCAAATTATTATGGATATGTAATAATCAGTTGAAAAATAATTTATGAGCATTTGAGTACTAAAGAGTGTACACATTTTGTTATTGGGTTAATTCATAATTATATCATATGTATGATCTACGTAATATAAACAAGACTAATAAATAATAAGAAATGTAACAGCTGTGCATTTATAACATTTGATTACTTAAAACAGTGCACAACTGATTATCACCTTCATATCTGTTTACACAATGAATTGTATTTTCCAATTAAGTGCACGGGCCTACTAGTGGCCGAAGCGTCGTTGAACACTGGTAGTTCTGTCTCAGGTTAGAATGGCGTGAACGGGCTAGCTACATGGGCGTTTTCTTGGTTTTCCCCATTTGTAACTGGTATACGAGCCAGTTTTAAAAAATCTTCTACAAAGGGATCCCTCCTGTTAGGCATATTTGATCTTCATATTGCTGACTAGTATCTGCTGGCTGTGAGGATGTAAATATCAGCCATATAGATTTTTGTCATAGAAGGGTTTTTTTTTTTTTTTTTTTGTCTGTTTGTTTGAATGGACAGAACAGTAATTATGAGCCATAAAGTTAGTTAAGAAAATGCTTTCAACAGGACACAAATTTTGCAGTGAGCCATCAAATTTTCACTGGAATGCAGACAACAGAAAATACACATAAGTAATGTCTGATAAATAGACTTATCCAGCACACGTTTTAAACTATTCTTAGTGTACACAGAATTTGGCTATTACTGATGTAATTGATTGCTATAACCAGAAGTGTGTTTATCAGTTACTTGAAGTGCCAGAGTGGAGATCAAAGTGATTAACTTGATAGCAATCACCTTTCTGTTATCTTCCATTACTAACAACAAAGTTTAAAATGAAAAGAGCGTGAGCGATACAAAACAACACGAAGAAGCAATCGTCATTTAAAAGGAAAGGTTACTTTCGCCAATCTTAGCGATAACTGATTCTTGTTTGGCTTTCAGCCTGTTTACCAGTGAGGATGGTAACCCTATTTCGCCAAAGAGCGTTTCTCAGAATTGTTCCACCAAACATTTTGTTCCGGCAACAAATATCGTAATGTGATAAGGGTTTTAGGGAGACATCATAAAGAGAGGACAATCATTATCCTTTGCAATTTGTTCTCAGTTGCGTTGGATCATATCCAGGATTACTAATGATTCAAATCTAACTATCACTTATACAGTGAATAATCTTCAGTTGAAACAGTTTGGTTTTTAGACTAAATTCCTGAAGTCAAACGTATCTCTAGTGAAGAGCAAGAATGTGAAGAATTCTTTAAAGCAACACATTTATGTGATCAAAATGGTCGTTATGTTGTGAAACTTCCATTTAAAGATAACCCTTCAAAGTTGGGTAATTCTAAAGGTCTCGCTTTACAAAGATTTTAATTCTTTAGCGAGAAATCTCTTAAGATTCTCTGATACAAATAAAATGTGTAAACAATTCATTAAAAAATACTTGGATCTCGGGCACATGGAACCAATTTGCAGTACAGAGTCCCCAAGTCAGGCATACTACATGCCACATCATGCAATAACTAAGAAATCTAGCTCTACGAGAAAAATACATGTGGTTTTTGATGCTACTAGTAAGTCTTCATCAGGAATATCTCTTAACGACATATTGATGGCAGGACCTAGAATACAAGAGCTGTTTCCAATTTTGATAAAATTCTGATGTTACCCAGTAGTTGTCACAGCTGATATCATGAAAACGTTTAGACAAGTTTTAGTTAATGAAAAGGATACAGACTTTCAAAGGATATTTTGGCAGGACAATCCAAGTAATCCTATTCAAGAATTTTGACTTAATACTGTCACATATGGCATTGCCTCCACTCCATATTTGGCTACTTGCTCTTTATACCAACTTGCCTACGATGAGCAGAATAACTACAATTTAGCTGGAAGGTTGTACATCAAAATATTTTTGTAGATGAGTGTTTGGTAGGTGCTCAAAACATTGAAGAGTGTAAAACTCTAGTAAATCAACTCTTGTGAATGTTAGAAAGTGGAGGATTTCTTCTGCGTAAATGGTCATCCCAGTGACTTGACAGTGTTACAGAATATACCCAAGGAGTTGAGAAATGATTCTGAGGCAATGAAATTCAAGATGATATCAAAGTTTTAGGAATTAATTGGAACCTCTGTGAAGACTACTTTAACTTTTCCATGTCCATTTCTGGAGAAAGTTTAAATACACTAAAAGAGATATCCTTTCTGATTTAGGGAAAATATTTGACCCATTGGGTTGGCTTGCTCCTTGTATTTTTTATGTCCAAATCTTGATACAAGATATGTGGAAACTACATTTATCGTCAGATGAGCCTGTTAGTGATGAGAGTGCTAACAAATGGATATGTGGAAACTACATTTATCGTCAGATGAGCCTGTTAGTGATGAGAGTGCTAACAAATGGAAGAGTTTCCAAAAGAATTTACATCTTACTCAACAATAAAAGAGAAAAGAAGTAGTCAACGAGTTGAGAAGTAAGTACGCTAGTACTAAAAGAATAAATTGGTGCAAATGCTGCTACATTCTAATTTAAGTTTAAAAGTATTGTTAGATCCAACTCATCAGCAATAAGACCTGAATTTTACCAAGTGAATTAATATATGAATTACATAAAAGCAAAAATCTAAGATACTAAGACATTCAGATGTGAATGAAGAAATTAAAAAAATCTAAGATACTAAGAATTTGTGTACATAAATTAAAGTTAAGTTACAGTCCATTAGTTTTATTCTTAACCAGGATGTCTTATTTCTTTACTATTCACAGAAATGAACCCATACCACTGAGATGTATAACCACTGATATGTATAATCAGTTTTATGTACTTATTTTGCTATATATATATTAGAGAAACTATTCAGAAATCTCAGTTAGCTTTAATTACTATTTATTTTTTAAATACTCTTTAGCTTTAAAATAGGCAAAAAGTATGATAGAATGTCTGATCAGTTTATTATTTGCAGACAATGAACACATACCACTGTTAATTGAAATATATAATCAGTTTTACATATTTCTTTAATCTTCAACTTACAGCTATTATCCAATGAAATCTAAGAAATATGTTTTTTAAATACTAAACTTAAATTAGGTCACTTAAACTACACATATAATTACATATATTTTCAGCAAAAATGTTAAATGTACCTGCACTATATGGAGGATAGTTTAAAGAATTTTTTCCACATCCATTGAGAGATCCATCAACAAAATTCGATGGTTCATTCATATCCTTTATAAAATATAATTAATAATGTCAAATATTCTCTATTATGCAATATTTCATTGAAATTCAGATTGAGGTATGAAAAATTTAGCAAAAGATACATAATTCTGTTTACCACTAATATATAACACTTTATAAAAAGTACTGTCTTTCAATAAACCAAATGAGTAAACCTAAAATTGCACACAGATGCAAAAATCATTACTTTTCATAAATGTTTCAACAAAATTGATTGAATTTACGCAGACTGATATACAGTAACATAAAAATTGAAAAAATATGAGTATGTGTGGCATAAATTAAGTTTTAGGTTTACTTTGCTGAGTTACGTTCAGATATATTCTGATATACAGAGAGAATGATAAAAATCCTAATATCAATAAAAATGTCACTTAAGAGAATGTAGTTCCATGATTGTGGTTTTATCTTATTGGTTGGATACAGACACTGTGCTCTTCCTGAAGGGAATATAAATATTAGTGGGTACAAGGATGAGATCTAAGACCTTTTTCATGTGAAAAGAAAAGAAGATTTACTTCTCTTACAAAAAATAATGTTTATCCTCACTGAGATAGACTGGGAAAATACATTCAAGAAAGCATTATTCTGTAAATAAAGGGCCTTGCAGGGAAAATGTTACTAAGAATAAGCTCTACACTATTACTAATAGCATATAAAATCACCATTAAATTTGGCCATACTCCCCACTTTAAAACATTTCTTCAATATTTGAAAATTATGTTTCCAACATTTCTGCATAAGCTAATTTTCTAACAAAATTTTTATCGATTTTAAACACCTATAACTATGATACAGGAAAAGGTTTTATCAAGCTTTCAATAAATTATTGTATATTTGCTGAGTTACTACAACTGTTTTGTTTGCTACTTCAATTATGGAAACGAATGTGAGTAAATGAGAATGTAATACAAATGTGAACTAAATCTTTGCAATTAGTAATAATATACTTTCTTCCTAGTTGAATAATCAAATTAAATACAATTTTTACATAGTTATAAGCATTAAAAAAAGAAACCAAGAAGTTTTTCACTTTATTTGCATTAACTTATTATTACAAAACTTGAACAATTTGCTAACTTTCCACTAGAAGAATTGTCTCATTAAATACTTAGTATAATCAAAAGAGAATTCAGAATGGAATTTTACATCAATATGGAAATAAAAAACCTTAATATTAAATGCTTCTAAACTTCACAAAATTATTAAAAGCAGAGTTTCATACTTACTAGCCATAAGCCATCAAATCGAACAGCTTTTCGGAACTCTGCACACATCTGAGTCCAATAAGGTCGGACTTGAGGATGGGAAAAATCAGGAAAATATGATTTGCCAGCCCAAAGCTTATAAAATATGATATGCACTATATTTATTTAATTATTTTGTATCATTCTTCACAAAATAAATAATTAGTATGCACAGCACAAGAGACAATAATAAATAATTAGCCCACTTTTTATTACAACTTTACATGAACAGAAAAATGAAAATGTTAAAATATGTATATCAAACAAAAATTAAAATTAGAATTTCTGAATAGCCTCTAAACAAAAATTGAATGCTCTAGAATATGGAAGCATGTTAAAATGCTACCTATTTCCAACTTTCTACCATCTAACTGTCTAAAATGTATTTAATAATAAAAATATAAAAGCAATTTTTATTTAACTTCAAAGTGAAACAGCCAAATGTTCTCCACAAAGGGACAGAATCTGCTCTTTAATGTAGCATGCAGGAAAGTATAAGAAACAACATATGAAAAATAAAATATAAAAGAAAAATGATACACAAGTGTCATTTATTTTACTGGTTGCAGGAAAGGAGGAAAATATAGCAAACACACAAAGAAGCAGAAGACAAAATTATGAGTTTCAAAAGTGTCAAAGAAATTTAACTCGCTAACTGAAACTTTCTAATTAATTTCAGATAAAAAACTTTTAACTCCAGATTATGATTTACAATGATACCAAATATGTAATAATGATATATGAACTGATCGATTACAAATCTTATGTTAAAACTTTCTTTTTTTTTTTTTTTTTCCTTTTTAAGTGCAGAACCAAATGCATATCATTAAATAAACCAGAGAAAAGTTGATAAAATTTTCAGTAGCTAATATTATTAGTTCCTTGAGTTCATGTTTAAATTTTTTTTTCCAACAAAATTATTCAAAAAAAATTCCTTTAGTTGTTGAATCAAATTTTTTGAAGTTTTCATATATACACAAATACATACATGCATTAAGAAAAGTGTTACATGAGCATATGAATTTTAAAACAACTATTTTTTTTTAAATATTGTTGTTTTTATTTTTTTATACATGGCACTGGTGCATTTATTCAAACTTCCATATCAAATTTTAATGTTCTTCTTTTACTTAATTTTTTTTAAATATATTATGGAAGAGAAATTAATTATTTTCCCTTGACACATATCTAATTTTTTTAATGTTATATTTAATACAAATTTCTTACAATTTATTATTATTTGATTTCTCTAACATGTTATTATGCTTTATTAAATTTCAAACTACATCGTGTTTAAAAAAAAATATATACATATTACAAAGTGTTATTTTGTCCAAACTATCGATCACTGCGCCTCGGCTAGGCTATTAGCGAAATGAATACAAAGTCTAGTTTATATTAATAGCCGCTAGATGTCAGTTGTCTTCTATTTTGCATGGTAACCATTACATGTTTAAAATGGCTACTCCGCAGCAGAAATCATTTTGTGTTCTCGAGTTTGTGAAGTACAATTCCGTGATTACAGTGCAAAGATGTTTCAAGTTAAGGTACCAAAGTGATCCTCCGAATGGGTGGAACATTCGCAGATGGAACTGCAATTTGTTGTAAATACAGAATGCCTATGTAAAGGAAAGAATTCTGGCCACCTCGTGTTCCCGACAAAAATGTTTCACGAATTCAAACTTTCCAAAGCAGTCCTTCGAAATCAACTTATCATGCCAGTCGCAAACTTGTCAACCTATGACACTAAAAAATCAGATTTTTTTAAGAAATCGGGAGATTTTTCACAATGTTAAAGACTTTTTAAATGATGAAAATATAGTTTTTAATAATGAATTAACTTTAAATAGTAACTAATTCTTAAATGCGAGCAACACAAAAATACCTTACACATAAAAAACATTTTTATTACTTGCATCGTTTAAGAAATCAAACAAAAAAACACTTTAATCAGTTTTCGTACAAATATTACAAACAGTGGGAGATTTTGCTTTCTTTAAGGAACTTCATAATTTTGTTCATAGCAATTGCCAGGTAGGCCTGCTTTCGCTAATAAAAGTTTTTCTAATGTGTCATCACTAATATAAGATCTAAATTTAGTCCTCCTTTTCACAACAACACTGAAAATCCTCTCACATTCTGCATTCTATGGGGAACTGTCAAGACGGAAAACATAATTCTAGACAGTTCACTATATTTTAAAATTCCATCAGAACCTTTCAGTTTTCCAATTAAACTTCCCTGGATGTCAATCCTAGCTGATTTTATAACTTCATCCAAGTTTTCTAATTGTAAACTGCAATATTATCAGTGGCAATATCAATATCATCATCCTTCATGACTAAATGAAGTAACATGGGAAGTCGGTTGAAAAAATACCTTATATCAGAAAAAGATGCATTTGCTAGAGCAGAAACATCAGCAACTTTAGTATACAAAATCACTTCATCGTTGACTGGAAATTTATGTAGTATGTAAGCACATACTCGACAGAAGTAACTTCTAACATGAAGATAAAACTTATTTTTGTCTTATCTGAAAGTTCTTCTACTACTTTTGTAGTTGCAGCTCCTATTACCATATATTCATCTTTCTTCCGATTTTCTATTTCACCATAAATCACATCATACATAGAATTACAAGACAAAACACTTTACAAACTTTGATAAAATGCCATTAAACAGATCATAAATCTTTGATTGCAAAACATGAATTAATGGAAGAATTAGAATTATTGAGAACATTGAATGATGGCAAAATGAATTGTAAAAAAAAGCAAAAAGCTTTGTTAAGTTCCAAAAAAAAAAAAAAAAAAACCATAAATATTCGTTCTTCACACGATAAACTTAAAGTAATCAGAAAATGTTTCGTGTGTTAAGCAATTTTTTTATTTTGAAATTTGTATCAGTTTTATGCTTATATTTTGCAGTATTATTTTGAGAACTGCCAGTTTAATTGCTGAATGGTACAGAAATTACTTTATTTTTCTCAAATATTTTTAACAATGGAAGTAGTAACTACATCTCCATTTACTTAGGTATTTTATAACTTTCAACAGAGCCTTTTATCTTAACTCTCGAAGCATTTACTTCTTTAAAAAATGCAAGAAGTGTGTTCCATTGATCGAAGATTCTAGACAAGCATTTCTTTAAAAACAGCCAGCATCTACACACATGTTTCAAAATTTTTATCATTTCAGTATTATGCAGCTGTTGGAACTGTTTCAACTTTTCCTTCCTTTTAGAACTCCTTTCAAGACAATAATAAATATCATCAATGTGCTCATCCACATTTATTGGTAAAGAAGCTGCCCCCTTTTTAGCTGCTAAATTTAAGAAGTGACAGGTGCACCTCATAATCTGCAAACCTGAATTTTCCTTTCTTAAGATGCCTGCAACACCAGTCTTCAAGCCTACCATTATTGATGCATTATCGGCACCAAGTGCTAAGGGAGACCAGTTAAGTCCAGAGGGACTGCATTTTCATTTAAAGTTTTAATACTTATAGCTGTGCTTTATTAAAGCATGACGAATGTCCTTCTAAAGTGGGGACAGAAAGTAAACTGCATTCAACTTCTGAAGACTCTGGATTAAAAAAAGAAACAACAGTTAGATACAGTTTTGAATCGATATTATTGCTTCCATTCGTAAAGAGGTAGAACGGAGCTGTTTTAATGCAATCAATAACTGAAGATTTATTTTTCAAACCTATTTTTTTAACAATTGCACCTGTTTTGGTCCTTGTACTTGAGCATTTCTTAGCGATTTCACTATCGGGAGACATTTTTCTAAATAAAGCTGCAGCGTGATCTGATGCATTCAGTGGCAGGTTGTGCTCCAGTAAAAAGGCAGAGAACAGACATTCTGCATTAATAACTTTTTGGTCCTTTGTTTCCGAAGAAAATTTAAACTTTTTTTTTTTTTTTTTTAAACAACTCATGTTGTCCTTGTGTTTTTGTCTACGCACATGTTTGAGAACATCCGCCCTTCCACCATGCGAAATCGAAAAATCACAATGACAGACGGTACACATCGCAAATTTATTATATTTCCTTGAGGAAATAACGGAAAGAAAGTCAACTATGTACGATTTTTGAAACATACACGTGTATTTCACCTTTTTCACAGATATAACAAAAATTGATAATTTCTAAAACTATTTCCCGAAAGCACGTGCACTCACACAACTCCGAACAAGATTAACAAAATAACTAAAGAGCATCCTAATAACAGCCTTAAGCTTGCTTTGTGCTCATTGGCTAATATATGCCAGATGACACGCTGTGGAGCTCGAGGCCCATTGGAGAACTGGAGAACGATGCTTCTGGATATGTATATGCTCTCACTCACAAAGAAAAAGTTTTCATCTGATTTGCAAGGTTTTGTTTTAGATATAAGCTAAAGAAAATTCAACTTCTTTCAGACGTCAAAAATCACCTTTTGTTTTTTTTTCATATAACGAAGTATTAAGCCAAGTACACAGAAAAATCGTGAGAAATTTTAAGAATAAGAAAAAGTCGGGAGAAATATATTGTAAATCGGGTTGGCGGGAGAGCGGTCAAAAATCAGGAGAGTTGGCAACTCTGCGTATGTCATACAGTTTAATAAATATATGCATTCGAAATATGTATATTCCTTTTGAAACACGCTGTATAAGTATGAATGGCAGCAATAAGCCCTTTTTATTGCAACAACATTTTAGAATAATTTATTATCCAAAAATATTCTGGATTCATTACTTCAGAATATTTAAGCTGTTTTTATCATGTTCCACAAAGAAGATGTAGTTACAAAAGAAGGTGTAGTTTATGCATTTCTATGGCTTAAACTACACCTTCTTTTACCTTCAATGATAATAATTTTATACTTCGGTCATGCAGCATTCTTAAATACTGAAATTCTAAGTCTGATTATGCAAAAATTGTGCATGTAACTATTTTAGAATAATTTATTCTCCTAAAATATTCTGGGTTCATTACTTCAGAATACTTTATTATTCTAGAATTAAACAACTTGTAAAAAATAATATATCATTTTCTCTTTAAAAAACAATAGTTTGTTCCATACAACTCAGAACCAAATAGCTATAATATTTACCTTTCATAACATTATATTATTAAATTTAATGTGCATTTTGCCAACAACATTTAAGAGGAAGAGAATCACAAACTTACTTTTCCCTCTATATATGTATCATTTATTTTGACAAAGATATCTCTATTGATGCCAACATCTAAAGCTGGATAGTTCGATTTCAAAGTTTTATTACTAGCTATTGCTGGATCCTGAAAAAATTATCACATCCTAAGTCACAATCAAAATGAAAATAAAAACACTAAAAAAGCAGCTTGATTAAGTGAACTTACAGGTGCTACATTATTAGGAGTTTTATTAAAATATTACAAGATTGGAAATACAAAACAATCAAATATAAACATTCAGAAACAAATTTAAAAATACATGAAAAACAGAAAAACTGGCTAGTTCTTTATCTACAAATAGTCACAATAATAATTATAGGTCATTTAACTCAAAAGTAAAGGAATTACGTTTTACATATCTGAAATGATCTGCAATATAAATAAATATAAAAGCAAAAATTGTGAAAATGGAATGACCATTTTTGATGCAAGGAAACATTGGAAAATAAGGCAAATAATATAAAAGATAAAAATCCTTAAAAAAAAGTGTAACTAAAAAAATAAATTTAAAAAAATGAATTAAAGAGCACATTCAGTATGTATGACTTTTATAAAATGAAGCTGAACATGAGTAGGAAAGATCACTAAAATCATAATTAACATATAAATATTCTTACACATTATCACAAATCATGCTAATAATTGATAAAATGCTTGGCATTTTTGCCAGTGATAAATTAGGAGCTGAGTTTAAATGACAACTCACTGCATTTCTAAAAACAAATATCAGACTTGCTTCTCCAACAACTTTGCAGTATAAAAAAAATAACAGACTTGCTTCTCCAATCACTTTGCAGTATAAAATTATATTGCAAAGAATCTCCCTTTCTTCAGTTTTATTAAGTTCATTTTTTCTAAAGACTAATGCAGTACATATTTTTTCCATTAATCAAAATGCACATACTTTAAAACATAAGTTGATTTGTTAGAATGCAAATGTTAAAAAAGTATTGAAAATTTATTGTAAAACTGCAATATTTGTAATGGCAAAAAGAGGTGAAAGTAAAAATATTAATCTAAACTAGACAGATATTCCAAGACTTTCAAAATAAATAAGCCTAATTTTTTAGCAAAAATAAAGTCAAACATATATTATGTAAGACTATAATAGATCTAAAAGTATTTTCATAAACCTCATGTATAGCTAGCACAAAATTCAGTAAATCCAACATAACTCTCCTAAAAAGTTTCAGCTAGTTTTATAAATGCCACATTTAAAAGAAAGGATAGTGAGTTTTCTATTTTAAGTACATTTCTTTAACTGCTTTAAAGCAACAGAAAGACCCAAAATATTTAACAATAAGTTCATTGCTTACTAACTGATAATTAGCCATATTAAATTAAATATCAATGAACTGTTTAATTAAATATTATAGTTTAATTTTAACAACTAATTTACCAAAGCAAAAATATTTTAGTAAGTGGTTCTACCAAACATGTAAATTAAGTAGCTGAGTCCTAGCTTGCTTTAGAGGCATTAAAATATCTTTCATTCATCATGAACGCATCCCTTGATTAACCCTAACTATAATTTTGCAAGAAATATCATATACTAAATAGTACCCATATTAATAAAATAATAAATGCTTTATTTATTATACAGATTATGCAGTAAATTACTCACTAATATGATTATAACTTTTCTTCCTTTATCATGAATCTCATCTATGAAAGATGGCAGATTTCGATAGTGATCATAATCATAAGTGAAATCTTTAAAGTTATCCATGTAATCAATATCCAGATATTGGACATCCTACAAAACATCAAAAAACATATAAAAGATATGTTAAACAGCCCCCAAAATGACATTTTTTTAATAAAAATTTCTAAAAAAGTCAAGAATTCTATTTCAATTAAAATATATAAATCTTACTGTTGTACTTATACAAAGTAAAATTTTACATTAATATGCATAGTACTTAAAATTATTTAATCTATATCACACGAAAAACACATAGCAAACACATTTTACTTTACTTTACTTTTTGAAGATTCTTACGTATTTCTATTAGATTTTTATATGCAGAAATTAAATTTCCTAGAAAAATCCCAACAAATTAAATTACTTTAAATTTAATATATAATACAATTATATGCAATAATATTTGAAGTAGAAAGAGAAAGACATGGAGATATGCATTCACAATGTAGTAATGACGCCAAAATGATATATCTTTTCTACAGATTTCTGTCTTGATAATAAATTAATGATTAAAGAAAAATGAGGTTGCAAATAATTTTAAATAAGTTTCATTTTCATTGTTCCCCCCTTCTTCTTACTAATCCCTCTGATCTGAATTAGATCAGATAAGTTCATTAACCTTCATCACTTCCATTACGAATTTAGGTTTCTTCAGCACATCTTCACGCACCAAGTCAACACAACTGATGTTGCACAGTAGCTTCATGGTTTTTACATTTGGTGCAAGTGTAAAAGTTTCCAAGTTTAGTACCACTGGAATATCTGAGGGCCCTTAAATGTCCTGAAGTCAACCGAGCCAAAGCCGTTTGGTCCTTCTTGTCACCCTTGAAACCAACAGCAACACCAGGACCTGCATTACAATACCACGAGTGTGTCGGTAGCTGTCTCCAAGAATTGTTAATTTTAATTGTCTCCAAGAATTGTTAGCATTTATGTTTTATAATACATTTTTAAGAAATTACGTTACAAAAACATGCAGCTAACACAAAATTCACAATGATCAGCATTTTGTTAAATATATAAAGAACATAAAGATTAAATCAAGAAATTCAAGAGATGCCATCATTACTTACATTATACACATGAACATACACCTGGCTATTAGCAGCTGATTTACAATCAGATAAAAGATACAAATACAAAGCCAGAAGAAATGAGTCATGTAACAGTTATGAAAATTAAAGCCAAATGATAAGGATACAGCAATTAAAAGTGAGATATGAAAGTGGTTTAGTTGTCAAATTATTAGCTAAAAATTGGAGTAAAAATTCATAATATTAATAAAAATAAATAAACTAATTTAAACATGAAGGAAATTCCTTCTTAAAAATTTAAAGTCTCCAAAGCGTTCCTGAAAATATAGGGCAACTACAGACTTTAATGCATTTGTGATGGATTACTGATTATCACCAAATATGCATATCAAACATAAATACATTCTTATCCAATTGTATCTTATATCTTAACTCCCATTTCTTGGTGTTGTACCAGTATGATGATAAGTGCGATAAGATTCCACCAAGGGTTCCTCACAATGGCACTATACATATTTGACCAGCATGTTTATGCAGAAGCTTCATTCATTCGAGAAGACAATTCCATGCCATTCTAGCATCCATGTGCAGCATTTAATGCACCACTGCATTTGTAAACAACTCTGCTGTCCCATTAACCCATTAACCGCCAAAAATACAAGGAATGTTTCTTTTCTCATGAAAATAATAACAAATATTAAGCATTTATAACATAAATTTACATTGAAAATAAAAAAAAAAATGCTCTTACCTGTGTTATAAAAAGCGCTCTACGTCAGCGGAATAAGACTACGGATGTTTAGAGAGTAGGATTTTACTCGTGTGATGTTTCTTTCGAGTGGAGCGCAGGATTACTTTTTAGCTGTATAACATTTTATAAATCTACAAATCACTTTACTTGTAATTAATTTAATATTAAAATATACATTGTATTTCTTTTACAAATACAGATTATTTCAATAAGCTTGATTACAATCATGATGTAAAGCTACATTACATACTTTGCATCTATAAACAGTCTGGCTATGGTACTCTTTACAATAAATTCTTTTGTTATCAACGGACTTTACGATAAAATGTCTACCATCTCCATGCAATGGTTTTTTAATGCTGAATTTACTAGGTCTTCCTGTTGCTGATCTATTTCTGGCTAATTCTACACTCTCAATAGGAGTTTGCAAAAGGAATAATGCATTCTCGTGTCTGAAATCTAAAAGAGACTTTATATTTCCAGTAGTAAAAAAAGTGGTGATATTTAGTAAGTTTAGTTACAGTCTCATATAATTTATCAGTATTCTCAATTTGACTATTGTCAAATGCAAATTCTTCTTCATATTCCTGTACTGCAAACATGATATCGATTCTCGTACAACAGGAACAGAAATGTCCTTATCAAAAGACCAATACTTTTTTCCTTGAGGTAATGAATGATATCCTGTAAGTAATAATATCCCAATAAATCTTCTCATATAGGCTTCAGATGCAATAAATTCTGGACTTTTTTTTTTTTTTTTTTCCCCTGAGCATATATATTTGTCTGTTCAACGACAAGAGAGTAAATGTCTAAACCAAAAAGAAAATCAAAAATATGTGCACTAGTTTTACTTTGTATTTTGTCTTTTATAATTTCTCTTCTATCTCTTTCTTCATGTTCTTTCTGAAACATAACTAACAGTTCCTTTTTTATCCACTTCAAGATTTCAGTCTTCTGCTTTTTAAACTTTTTAGTATGACTGCTCTTAGAAGGCTGAAACTTACTTCTTACGTGAATTTCAACTTCCCCAGCAGTATCATTTTGTAAAATATCATTATCATTATTTAAAACATTACCATTCCTCACTAGCTTCTGCAATTTCTGGGGGAACAACAACAATATCAGTTTCATTCTGGTCATTATTAACATCATCAGTTTCTTCATCAAAAAATCTTTGAAGGGCTTCTTCTAATGTAAGATACCTCATTCTAGGCATTTTTAAACAACCAGAACATGAACCAGAACATCGAAAGGAATGAGTGAAAAAGGAGATTGACTACCCGTTTCCTGCTGATGCTGCGTCAGCGCAACACCTGTTTTCCCTCCCTTCCCAACACAAATATAAACATCTGACTGATGTAATGTTCTGGTAAACGGTGACCTTGACTAAAAATAGATAACTCATAAAGACGGCAATTCTTTCGTTAAATATTTTCAGCAAAAATACCCGGTCGAAAATTTTGCTTAAAGTATGAGATTAATTATTATAAACAAAATGATTGTTGAAGGCAGATATTATTTTACAGAAATAATCTTCATAATATTCCCTACACAAAATCATCTGCTGGTATAAAATATCTTAGGTAGTTATATTTGTACACGTATTTATTGTGACCATTGCGTCAATGCAACACCAGCGGCTAATGGGTTAAAGATACATGGAAATCCCCAGTGTATAAATAATTAATGACTCTTAAGATGGCATCTCAGCAAATTGTAGACACGTTTTGTTATACTACATACCATATTTCCTGAAGTTTGGTTTGGCTGTATACTCCATTTAGGCCATTCATACAAAATATATAACCTTCTGAGCATTACTGCATAAGGAACATTTTTATGTGATGCACACTCCATCTTATTTGAAGCAAACTCTACATTTCTAGTCTAAGAAATAACAAGGAAACAATTGACGATGTGGAAAACTGTGTCTTCTCTTTTACACTTAAATGGCATTATAGGCACACATTATTTGCTCCTACACTGCACTGCTATTCATTTGTATTGTTGCAGGTTTACTGATCCATAACAGACTGAATGCACAAGTCCAATAAAAGGTTAATAAAATTTATTCTTATCAAAAGAAATATAACAACGCTGGATTTTTCCATTGAGATATTCGTCCCATAGCACAATATCACACGATATAATCAGTAACTATACTTTAAACTACTAAAACATTAAATAGAATGCAATCCACAGCACAGAGAAAGCTAATCCGATCAACAATAATAACAGCAGCTAACTAAACAAGTAAGCTGAGATGTTTCTCTCTGGCGGTTGAAAGCTTTCAATTGGTCATGAGAGAGTTCTAGTAATTTCTTTGCTTCTCGAGATTTCTGGAAAGCAAAAGAGTAGAATTACGGTTATAGCTAACACAGTAGTCAATAACATTTATTCGAATTAAATATAAATTTCTAAGATTTCGAGATTACATTTAACATAATTCAATGTTAAATGTGCATGCTTATGTATTTTTCCTTTTCCAGCATAGCTTTCTATGTCTCGGGCTGCATTGCATGGGGAAATAAAACAATTTTAATTATAATTAATTTTTAACATTAGCTATCTAAATACAAAATACTTAACAGTATGCTCAACCATATTCTATTATACAAATTTTACATCAATCGGCCATTTCCTTTATGGCAAAAGGAATTTTTTACTTAAGATTTAGTGTGCATATTAATAAAGTTTTAGAACTGATCGACACTTGCTGGTGAATTATTTGTTTGCATTTTTTATGTTTATATAGTTCTGAGTACAAGGCCTCTAAGCATTTTATGTAATTAAAAGCTATTTTTTTTAATTTTATTAGCTTGATGATATGTAATAAATTTCATTAATACATAATGTCCTATTTTCTTTTTCCTCCATCAAAGAGAGACTTCAAATTTAAATATTCATTTCATTTTATAAATTTCAGGCTTCTCTCTTGTATTTTTTATTTTAATGTACACATCAGTACAATTTTAAGATCAGAAACAACATAAATTTGCATTGATAATTATTAACTACAAAATTTTGCAAGCTGTTTAAATATATGTGTTTGTGTATCTTTAAGATAAAATAAAAATAACGTTGGATAATTACAGGAGCAGTGATTTTGTTTTAATACAGTATTAAAATTTTCATTTAACATTAGAAACATTAGAATTCACAAACATTAGAAACTATCATCAATATTTTCAGGCATTTTTTTTTTTTTTTTTTTTTAATTAATAGCACACAAGCTTAAGTGCATATCAAAAAGTACATCTATGATATACAGCATAACATCACATACTTTGCTGAGATATACACGTTTCCAGTATTGAATATTTTTCTTTGGTAGTTCTAATATTTTATGCTTTATGTGAAACAGTTTCTTACTGTCATCCCCCCATGTGAAGAACAGGTAGGTATGTTGCTAGCAGAATATAATATCTAGAAACAAAACATCAGAAGTGGCAAGAGTGGGTAGTAGGTATAATTCTGTGCAACATCTTCCACTCTGCCAAAACTTTTATAAATCTATTATGCTTTTTAATGTCTTCTAACTTTTTTTAAAATATAGCTTATTGGAATAAAAGCAACATATTCCTTGGTGCAATCTGAAGTAATTAGCCAGATTACAATACTGACCTACTGTAAAATTTACATTAATTTCAAAAATGTTTTTGCACATAAAATGTCTTTAAAAAAATTATACTTTCGGTAATAACTTACATAAGGCACATTAGCTTTTATTGTGCGATCCATAACAGCTTTGATATCTTCAACTGTTGAATAACCCCATCGTGAAATTTGAAACCCTAAAGCCCAATAAGGTGGCATAACTGGCAGTCCTATAACCTGCAGAGTGATTGAAAAGAATTTCTGTTAAAGTGCTGCCACATAATTCAATTTCTGAAACCTATAATTCTCAGATAAGGAAAAAGGGTACTATTCCGTTTTGAGGACCGTAAAAAAATTGCAGCGAAAATGTATGCGCAAAAGCGCCAAATCTAGCAAATGTGCCCATTTAACAGCGCGCCAAATCTACCACGTGCTGATTTCAGATTGCGTAAGTTTATATAGTTCTATATTTCTTAAGATGCCATTGAAATACTAGTTGAATTTTTATAAATCCTTTTTTGATATCCTATGGATTTAACAATTTGGGAATTGCCCGTGACGAAAAGTCTGCAATAGAATTTTGGGTAAAGTGCAGAATCACCTACTGCTTGACACGGTTTTAAGAATTACAAATACTCGGTATCCATGTACACATCGACCTATTTTCACTTAAAAAAAATAATAAATACCAGAATTGCACAAAAATGGCACTTCGCACACCCTTGACTTTATGTACACCGGCGTATTTTCACTCAAAAAGTAAAAGAAAATTGACAAAAATCCAATTGTTTTTAACCCTTGTAAAAAGCGGCAAACAAATAAGTGGGTGATTCTGCACTTTACCGAAAATTTTTTCAAAAAAAAGGCATCATTCATTATAGAAAATAATTTTGAACAACCAACGAGATGAAATTATGCTTTGGCGAAAACTCGGTAGCGAAATAGCAATGCAGGCATCCATTCAGTTATGTTTAGCAATTTTTATATAAATTATAATAATGATCTGAAATACAAGGTTATTTACTTTTATGCTTCCATTCAGTCGTGTTTAGTCTTTTTTATATAAACTATAATAATAAAAAAGTATTACATGAAATTAACTTTTCATCTAAATTAAAACATCAATCTTAGATAGTTATTTACTATTATACTTTCTTGCGTTAGGGTTGCCGCAATTATTTTTGGCAGCACTGTCATCAACAATACTTTGGCAATTTTTTACGGCTCTCAAAACCGATTAGTACCGGAAAAAGAATAAAGATTGCAAAAAATGTGGGAAAATTTCAAACATTGAAAAATAAAAATAGATACAAGTGCAAAATATAAGTTTATACAATATTTAAATTAATCAAGAAAATTATTTCTATTATTTAACAATAGAATAATAAGATATGATAAAGTACTTCTATAAGTTATAACAAATAATGTAACATAATATGTACTATTAATTACTAAACTACACAAGTCTTTTTAGTAAAAAAAAAAAAAAAAAAAAAAAAACTTTCTATTGTAATCAGTTAATGCATAAAAATTTGGGCAAATAGCAGTTTTTAATTTATTGACCATTTTCACATGACTATTGTAACTGCTGTTTTTATTATTCAGCAACATAAAATAAGTAAATGAGTAATTTTTCATATTAATTAGTCATAATCAATATTTGCATCATTAGTAACAAATACTAATATCCGTATTCAGCTTGTGGAATAAGCCTGCAGCTTGTGCTTAAATTTTTTAGTACTTGCCAAACTGCCAGCAAATCAGTTTCATGTAGCTGCATTTATTGAATTCTTACTCAATAATGTCCAATTTGTACTAAAACAAATCTTTTCCTACTCTATATTATTTTTAATAAAATGTATGAGTTAATGAAAATAAATTCTTCAGACTGTATTTCCAAGTAAAGAGTACATTTATCATAGAATAAAAAAATTCTGCTTCTTACTAAACAAATTTTCAAACAGCAAAGAAAAATTCTTAATCTGCTTCCTGCACTTATATATAGATGCTATTACATTGAAAAATAAACGCAAAGTATGATGAGAGATATCTAAAGAAAATGGAAGTTTATGATGAGAGAAGTAACTTTTGTTTTACAGATAATAATGCAATAACATTTTAGCAAAATCTTTTTTGGGGGGGGGCCAAGAAAGTGAAAGACTTGAATAAGTCTTAGAACCTCGTTTAAAAATCTCATTCAAAAAATTAATTTTAAACTGTTCTAAACTAGTTATTTTAGAGATATGGTAACCAGCAAACACAATGAACTTTAGATAAGAATATCAGCCCAGAAATCATTTCAAGGCACATATAATTTCAGTCATCTACTAAAAATATGGATGCCTTTATGTAAACATTTATCTCTACAATGAACTGGAAAGTTTTCATTAAAAATAACCAACAACACATACATATTGAAAGCATTTCTAATAGATAGCATTATTTGTGCAGCCAATGATAATAGAGGCACATAATAGTTAAATACAACAGAACTCTGATAGTTTGCACATCTTTTGGGATCAAGGACTGCACAGATTAGCAAATTTTAGACTGTATGTCATGCTGTTTGAGTTTTGTTTACACTGCCTCTCCAATTTTTATATTGTTATATTGACTGCATAACAAGTTTTAGGATTCCAGTCTGAGACGTCAATCTGAATTAGCCATACATTATTCAAAACTTTAGTCACAGTCAATAAAATTAAAAAAAAAATAGATGAGAACAGCTTTATTATTTACAAAGTATTCCACTTTCTCCCTCTCCTTTCCAAAAAAAGGGACATCAGAAAAGTTAGATTTGCAAAGCTAAAAAACACACAAAAAAATGTGTTTTTCAGTCCAATCTATAAAGAGAAACTGAACTTTTTTGTGGAAAACTGTTTTAAATAATGTTATAGAAAGTAAAAATATTTTGCTTTTTGATTTTCAATTTGGATAAAATAATAATTTTGAAATTCATAAAACATTTAATGTCCATACTTTCTGTTCATCTTCTTCATTAGGTTTGTCAAAGTAGGAAACAAGAAAAATATGCAGTGTAATAGTGATTTAAACTCTAGACCAGGTGTGGCAAACCAATGACATGCAGCACGATAATTTGGGCACACCACCGATCAAAGCAGTTTGCATTTTAATTAAAAATAACAAAGTTCACTATGAAACAATATAAAACTATACTATCAAACGTAAGTGAGCCTGCACTACGGAATGATCGAGTGTGGTCTGCAGAGCGGTCTGCGGAAAGCGCGCTCATTAGTTATTGTCTTGCCTTAGGCTGCATTCAGACGGCGACGTAAATGTCACAGAGGGATAGTCACATGGAATAAAATGCGGAAGTTCTGTTCATGCCTGCGACACAGAGTTGCACCCAGTTACAGAAGTTAAATTTGAACATGTGTGGATGTGTCTACAGCTTTCCTGTTTTGTTTTCCCATTCAGGTTTCACATGTTCGCTCTGATTGGCAATGCTAATCCCAAGTCGGCATAAAGTTGAAAACTTTAAACTTTATGCCAAGAGCCCTAAACCAGATTTTGTGACGTAGCACAGACTGGTTGCCTGCCAATGCCAGCTCGGTTTAAACCACTTATGCCCTTTACACCATCATCTGAATGCAGCTTTAGTTACACTGTAGACTACAGTTGTTAATGACGAATAGTTTGTCTACGCACATTATGTCTCGTCTTGTAACTTAAAAAGTTTATCTAGTTTACTTGTGTTATATTTATGATTTTTAACTGCTATTTAACATGGCTAGTTCAGCAAAAAAAAAAAAAAAAAAGTGTAAGACAGTAACTGTAACAGAGAATTCCAAACTTGGTGGACTGAGAAATATGGCATGATTAGTAAAGGCGGTGTGTATCTGATGTTCTGGAAGAAAGGTATAATAATAATAATAATATTTATTCTTAGCCTGCCTCGCCTCTCATTGGGCACTACAGGTCATTTGTTATTAATTAATTACAAAGCAAATTACATTTATAAATACAATTTGATGTTGGTTTTTCCAACTTACATTGAATAGTTATATTAGTGAAAACAAGTTTGAATAGGAATTTGAATATATATATGAAAAAGTGAGTTAATTACATATTTATATAAGGCATTCTGCCTTTACATATCGTCAGGTTTTAACCTGGTATGACTTGTATGATGGTCTTGTTGTCATTGACGAAGCTGACAATCTGTCTTACTTTCTGGAGACCATAGAAATCCGTTAGGTATCCTCTGAGACCTTTACTTTGGAGTAGGGCGGTGTTGGCTGGAGATCTAGCGACGTGAGGGAAGTGATGACATCTGCTGTGCTGGCGGGTGATCCACAACTGCACTTGACGTGTAAATGTAGAAAACTCTCTAACCTAATCTTTTGCCCTTGGCAATATCATAATAAGTGCCAAAGGGGGACGTGATCTGTAGGCTTTGCCAAAATGCATCCCATGAAGCTCTTTTTGCTTTGAAAATTATTTTCTTATATTTAGCTTGTTCGATCTTATATTTAAGATGGAAGTCTTTCCTTATTGAATCAGGAGCCCGGTGGTAACGGCGCCTTAGGGCTCGTACCTTCTTTCTTTGGATGTTTAATTCTTTTGTCCACCATGGATTGCTTCTGTGGTGTCGGATTTGGCCTACTTGCGATTTCTTTGTTGCGTCGTATGTCTCCTGAATGAGGACGGTGGTGTCTTCTATTTGTTTGTCTATGTCTTTTATATTTCTTAATCTGCTGTGGCTGTTATTTTGAAATTTACTTTTTATCATGTGTCTGAATTCTAGCCAGTCCACCTGGGAGAGTTTCATTTTAAGATTTAAGTTATGCTCTTCTTCTATATTTATTATTTCGTAGGTTATATAATTATGATCACTTAGGATTGCTTCTTCTATAACTTTCCAATTTATGATTGCTAATTGATTATGTCTTTTGAGAAGTGTCAGGTCAGGCTCCTGAGAATGTTGGTGGGCTTTCCAGATCGTTTAAGATACTCACGTCCGTGGTAGCCAAGAAATCACATACCTTGAGTCCTCTTGGATCTGGGTGATTTGGGCTCCATATTGGATGTTTAGAATCCGCTGATGATGATGGGGATGTCTTTTTGATTCGCTATTTGACTTTCTAATGTGCTGAGAATTGGATCTATGTCTTGTGAAGGCGGACAATAGACCGATATCATAATGAATGGGGTACTCCCCTCTATCCTAATTACACATATTGACTCGTTGCTGTACAGTTCTAATGCTGGGATTC